CTCACCTTAAATAATAATGAAAAAGCTCATACAATTTTTAATAGTCAATGCCATTAATCCACATATTCCTGCCTAGTAAAGAAGCTGTAAATGTTCATATTTACTTCTAGAAATAACTATATATTGGAAGAGTAAAAAATGCCAACTTGCTTCTTGGATAGAACTAAAGACCTAGAGCCAGAAATAGTATTAGGGGTAAATAATGATATTAGAGATTATTGTTTTAAATTACCTAAAGCATATAGCAATCTTGTTGATTAGTTGATAGGTCTCATAGGGGTAGGTGAAAACACCACTGATTTCTTTTAGTGTAAGTTAGAACTTGAAGGACTCTACAAAAGCCTTTTTGGGCATACATTCTAGCAGAAAAGCTCATTAAACTGGAGAACTGAGGCCTTAGAGAAAATAGAAATATGTAATGAAGTGGTCAGACCTCAAGTTCAAATCAGTGTGTGCTAGATTCCATTCCATTTTCTGCAGAAACTTCATTTCTGCTAAAGCTTAGAAAGTACACAAATAATTCCTGTTTAGGTAAGAATTCTGAGGAATGTGACTTAGACATTTGCTGTTAGATAGCAATAACTGTTTTACTTCTGTGTGCTGCTGCTTTTAGTTGATTGTAGAGGTGGTTTTTATTGTATCCTACTGCCTTAGGTCAGCAGTTTTGGGTTATTTAAAAAATTAGGCATGTTATAAATAAATAGATAAAAGTACATTGTATCTCAATTCAAGGACACTTGGAGAAAGCAATTATGGAACATCTCAGGTTTCTAAGGTACATTAAATTACAGGATCTGTGGCTGATCCTAACCTTTCTTTCTGAATATGACCACCTCCCTAAAAGTGATATCTCAGTCCTGTCCCTTGTTAACCCCATTTGAGATAAATGCCCTCCTATTTCAACAGAAGATCAGCTGCTCCTTTTAAAGTACAAGTGCCTGCTCATAGCTGAAAGTACAAAACACATTTGTGGTATTAACTATCCATTTCTTACTTGAATATGTTTATCTTACAAGAATATGGCTGGTTTTACCCACTTTGAAAGAAATAATGCGGTAAGTATGCCTGATAGTTAAATATGGATAAATTATCTAAAAATGTCCATGTGGCAGGATGATAAATTATTTTTTGTACTCTGTTTTGAAATGGATGTCAAGTTGGACAGAGCTAAGAAAAGGGGAAGATGATTTAATATAAGGAATATTTTCCTTTTATCTTATCCCAGTTGTCCCTTCATGATAACTGTGTGTAAACAAACTTAGAAGAAATACTGATACGAAAGCTTCAAGAAGTGGGAAAGAAGCACGCTGACTAGCAGAGATACTGGAAAGTCACAGCATCTCAGCTGTAAACCTCATCACAGGATTGCTGGGAGGATAAAATGGAGGTAGAGGACCATGGACCTCAATTTAAGATCTTTGGAAGAAAGAATATGAATATCCTCTCTATTATATCTTCATTTCTTTAAAGTTATGTTGATATATTAAACTGCCTTTTCTCAAAGAACATTAGAGCTGTGAACAATGTCACAAACTTAAACATAAAAATGATGACAATAAGGCATTGAAAAGTAATAAAAATTCAGTGGGACAGAACTTAAAATACAAGGCAAAAAGAAAAGTTTGTATCTTTATTAGGAATATTTCACAATCAAATATCCATAGAGCATGGAGAATATAAGATGAAATCAAGAAATCAATTGACTCAGAGGGATTTAGTTTTCAGTGGTTTTCCTACGCACAGTTAAGAGAAAGATTTAAGGTAGATAACAGGACA